TAGCTGACCACCAGAGGTTCCAGAGGCTCAGTCTGTTATGACCGGTGACGGGGAACATGACGGCATGCAGGCAGATGTGGTGCTGGAGTCGAGGGTCCTGCATCTTGACTCAGAAGCAACAGGAAGCAGATTGACTGCCACACTGCGGGAAGTTTGAGAAAAAAGACCTCAAAGCCTTCTCCCATAGTGACGCACTTCCAACAGAAGGTGCGCCCTCCAGCCTCAAGGTCTGGATTAAATAAAGGCATAAATCATCCAGCCTCCCCCAAGACCACACTTTCTCCAGCAAGGCCACACCTCCTAATAGTGCTACTCCCTAAGAGTTTATGGGGGCCAAATACACCCAAACTACCATAGGGAGGGAGGAGGTGGGTACAGACAGAGGATGGAAGAGGGACAAATAATAGCAAGATTGTTTGATAAAGCCTCAAGGAATCACATTTAACAGTTACCTAAAACTCATAATACACAATACATGTGTGTATATATTTGCATATGTGTGTACATATATACACACACTCACACATCATAAAGTTAAGCCACTTGGGCTGACAATGCTCCCCATAAGAAACATAAACTAACAGCACCAGGCACAAGAAACCTCCTTTCTAACAGTTGGTCAGGGTAGTCCAAGTGACTCCCAGATCAGGGGTTCAGGGTGGGTGTCTATTGCTGAAGACGCCACACACTTAGGCTACAAGACGGTGATCTGAACCGGATCAGACCTGAGAGCCTGCTTCCTGTGGTCTGTCTTTCACGGTACCAGAATGTACTATGGATATACCCAGGGAAGGGAAGCTGTTACAGCCCCACCGAGCTGCAGCACTCACAAACCACCATGCTGACCAGTGTGCCCAGGGGTCTTTAAAGGGGAGCTGGGCAGCCAGCAGCTGTCTAATTGGACTCCAGGCCCACGCAACAGGAGTGAAATTATGTCTGTAACTTAGACCCTAGTTAGCTTCCCAGGACTAGTGAGGTCATGAACCTGAAAAAAGAATCTACTACTCCCACTTTGCTAGGCCAGGATGATTTTTTTACTACATTCTAAACTTTATCCTTATACCCACAGTTAAGTTTGACTACCACCCCTCACCAAAGGAGCCGCTCTTTGTAACCAGTGGACACAATGCAGAGACTGATGGGCTGTGGGGAGGAGAGGGAGAGGGCAAAGCGATCCAATTCTATTCCTATTAAAAATATATTAAAGACTATAAACATACACACAATTTATATTGTAATGGTTTTATTATGTATAATAATCTGTTAGTTACACATGTATTCTATAATTATGAAATATATTTACATGGCATTGTATTTCATAATACAAAACAATGTTTCTTTTCAAAATTTTGATAGCAATTAGTTCTTAGGTTTCTGCTCATTTACCTTTGGTAGTGTATAGTAATGAAACATGAAACCCGACGCTGCTCAGTCATCCAGGCTGAGCAAGACAAACCCCGTGTGTTCTGGCTCACACTGCAGAGTCTAGGTTTTTCTATACATGCATACACATGACTGTGGGTATAGCCTGGGAAACTAGAAAGAGACTGTGATAGAGAAAGGAGCTTGAAGCGAGGGAGGAGGGTTGGAGAACACAGGAGCCATAAAAGTGAAAGGCGTTCCAGGGAGAGAGGGAGGGAGGCTGAGCCAAAAAAAAAAAAAAAAAAAAAAAAAAAAAACCAAAGGCAAAGAGTCATGAAATGCCATAATGAAGCTCATTTCTTTGTATGTTAATTGAAAATATTTTAAAAGAGTGGACATTGTTTACATGTAAGAAATAAACATTTTATATTTCATAACCCCTTCTCAGCTCCCCCACTGACTTTGGACCATAACCCAACAGCGCATTTACTTTTTTGCTTTATGAGTCCACAATTGTAGGCAAATAGGAGAAACAAGTCCAGTGTTCAGTGGCACAGTATTGAATATTATTAATGCTATAATTAACATTAATTTATTGCATTTTCAAAATAACTAGAAGAGATGATTTCGGATGTGTTTACCACAAAAAAATATGAGAACTATTTGGCATGCTAGAAATACTTATTATAATGATTTGGTCAATGTATATATGTATTGAATTATCACCTCATATAATGTATAATAATTATGTGTCAAGCTAAAATTAAAGCAGTCATTCCTGCCTGGGAGACAGCAGCCTAGGATTCTATTTTGAACTGGATTCTTCTTGCTTGGAGGGGACACAGAAGTACAGCAAAGCCCACAGCTGTAGAAAACTCTATTCTAATCAATCACCTTTTTCCAGCCCTCAGGTGCTCTCCCCCACCCAAGAATCTCGACCCTACCAGGATCCAGAGTCCTGGACCCGGAAGACAGAGATGTGAGCCAGTCAGCCTTGTCCTCCGATATCTTCTCCCTGGTGGTTGCCAGTGGGGTTGGAGCACAGAGTCAGAAAATAAGGAACCTCCAGAGCAATGGAGACTCTGAAGGAAGACCAAGCCACATCACCCTGGAGGCCCAGGTAGAGGAGAAAGCAAAGGTGAAGAGTGGCAGGAAAGAGCAGTTTTGAAGGCTGCCTCTCAGAGAACCTCTTGCATTAGCCTAGGGCAGCACCCTGAGGAATCAATTAGCCACTTCACTTGGGCCTTTGAGCAACTAAAACTGACCCTTAGGGCAGGGATACAGTCACATCAAATAGAAAGGCAAAAGCACTCCGACCCCAATGGCCTCGCTGACTTCAACTTTCTTCCTTCCCTTTTCTTTCCTCCATAATCCAGCTTGTATGTGCTTTTTTTGTTTTGTTTGTTTGTTTTTTAATGAAATCCTAAACCTCTAAGAAGAAAACTTTGGTGAAGTTCCTTCCATCTTTATTAACTGTAAACCCACAAGCGTACTGGAGAAGGACTCCTTCCAGACCCCTTTGCTGAAATGCCAGGACTCATCAAAACACCTGCTTGTTCCATGTTTCCTTTTCCATATGCAATTTAAGTGTCAAAGAGCTAGGCCTCTATATTATCATAGCTGGGTCGCCAAGGCTCAGAGAAGATAAAAGCATGTTTGGGGATGCACAGATAAGATGCAAAGAACCAACCTGGTTCCAGAGTCCACACTGGTCTTTGTTAAGGGAGGACGGCCAGCTTGGGTAACATCTATGCTAAGTATCACTGGAGAAGCAAAAGGAGATGGCATAGGTAGACGGGGGACGGTGTCTGGAGGAGACAGTGGAGTGAGGCTGGCATGAGCCACCGTAAAGTAGTGTGCTCAGTCACCGTAAAGTAGTGTGGAGAGTGATATTCGCTCTCCACAACTCTGTCCCTGTGCCAAGGGATGAGGGGACCGCCAAGGAACCAGAGTCAGAGGCCACTCAGCCCTGTGAGCATAGATGGATGAGTGAGGGAGAAGACAAAGGAGGTAGAGAAAGTGAGAAGCGAAAGTCTGGCTGGAACCCATAGGGGAGTGAGGCAGCCCTGGGGAAGAACACACTTCCTGGGGTCAAACACTTGAGAACAGGCATGATGAGTCAGGTTTTCTGAAGGCTGGCCGCTGTTGCTAATGGTGGCGAACAAGCAGACGGAAGTTTAAGTGTGACTTGCACAAAAGTCAGGTTCGAGCTTCTTTCCCTAAATCAAAAAATTAGCTTTCAAGGCAACAGCCAGTTGGGTTTGTACTACACATGTAACTTGATCAGTGTTCTATTGCTGTGAAGAGACTCTGTAACCAAGGCAGTTCTTGTAAAAGAAATTGTTTAATTACAGCTTAAAGGTTTAGTTCATTTTCTTTTTCTTTTTGGTTTCTCAAGATAGGGTTTCTTGGCTGGGCAGTGGTGGCACATGCCTTTAATCCCAGCACTTGGGAGGCAGAGGCAGACAGATCTCTGTGAGTCTGAGTCCAGCCTGGTCTACAAATCTACAGAGAAAACCTGTCTTGAAAAACCAAAAGAAAAAAAAAAGATAGGGTTTCTCTATGTAGGTAGGCCTGGCTGTCCTGGAACTCACTCTGTAGACCAGGATGGCTTCAAACTAAGATCTCAGAGATTCACCTGCCTCTGCCTCCCAAGTGCTGGGATTAAAGGTGTGTGCCACCACTGCCCAGCGATTTAGTCCATTTTCATCATGGTAGGAAGCAAGGCAGCTTGCAGGCAAACACTGTACTGGAGAAGAAGCTGGGAGTTCTATATCCGGATGGTCAGGCAGCAGGAAGAGAAGCCCTGGGCTTGAAATGCACTTTTTGAAACCTCAGAGCCCATTCCTAGTGACATAATTCCTCCAACAAGGCCACATTTCCTGATGACTAAGCATTCAAACATATGAGCCCATGGGGGCCATTCTTATTCAAACCACCATAAGCCATAGCCATAGTAGGAAATCTATACAATAAACACCACAAGAGTCTCGTTACTCATTTGACAATGACACAGCTTCCCAACACAAGCTCCACCGATTCTTTGTCATAAGCCCTCTGTCTCCAAAACAGTTCAATAACATCCACGGAGCACCCCACTTCTAATCCCCATGACTCTCTGCTCCTCCCACATCTCGGGGGTTCCCTCTTGCTACAACAGAAACAATAAAACAGTGTTTCTCAGATTAGGGATCGCTGGGGCTTTTGTTACGCTCCCTTGTATGTAGCCGAGTATCTGTCTCTCTGAAATCTATTTAAGAGTCTGGTGTCCCTGCTGTCCATACTGATTATATTCAACAAGGAGGGCCACAGTCACTAGCTCTGGAAAACTCCGTGGGCCTGGCCTAGTCTTGCCTGTACACAAATAGAAATGGCTAGATGAAACCGGGACTGACGGAAAGGGTCTGGCTGAGCCCCAAAGAAAATAAAAGGATTCGACCCCAAGGAGGCAGACAGTCCCGATTCCCGGGCACACGAGGTAAATGCCGAATGGAAATCCAACTGTTGCAGAGAGTGATTGCTCAGATGGAGCAAATGTGCTGTGAAATCAGGCTTGGAAAATCATCTGGAGTTCATCTCAGTGAAATCCAAAAACAATAACTGCCTCCCCCCCCCCCCAGCTGCTTCACAGGGGCCTCAGGAGCTCCCCTCAGCAGAAGCCACAGAGGCCCCGGGTCTTCCAACTCTGCCCTTGTTTATTTACAAATCTGCCTTTCTTTCTCACCTTAGGTCATCCTTCAGTTCTGCCCTCTCCAACCCCTGGGGAGCCTCGGGCATTCAAAAGGCCTCTCACGTGACAGGCAGCAGGAGACACAAATAAAAAGAGAGACAGTGAACTCCGGGGCTACCTGGCCCGAGGAGGAAGTGGAGCCCGGCACAGCTGGAGGGGAGCTTACACAGCGGGCAAATGGGTAAAGGGATCCTCGAGCATTCATTTCCCCAGAGAGCTCCTGCTGTGTGGAGGGTTGAGGCAGACCTAGGGGTGAGGCAGACCTAAGGTTTTACCCTGAGATACAGCACCAAGGTCAGCGGGAGAAGTCCTAGAAAACAGGAGGAGCTTTGGTGTGGGGTTTGACGGCTCCATTCTTAGCCACTGGGGAAGAGAGTCCTCTCTCTGGTCCCTAGGGCAGATTCTATTCCTGCAAAGTGGCCTGTGCTCCCTTACATTCCCAGGGAAAGGTCACGGCTCCACCAGCCACAGAGCTCAGCAGTCTTCCACTCCACTCGTTAGAACGGCTCCTGCAACAGATGCAGAATGGAGACCAGGGTGTCTTAGGGATTCACTGCCATAGAAAGAACAGGCAGGGTAGGTGGAAAAGGTAGGGCAAGTGTGCCTGCACACACCGCAACCCCTGCACAAGCGCACACACGTGGACACACAAAAGGGGTCTATGGATGTAGCTCACTTGGTGCTTGCCTAGCATGCACCATAAGCAAAATGAGGACCCTCCTGAGGACTGATGGTTCCTCTCCCCAAGCTTCCCATCTTCCCCGGACACCCTCCCAGAACCCTGAGCCACCCTACCCTGGCTCTGCGTTAAAATCTCAGCCGGCCAGCTAGCACTGAAGGGGAGAAGCTGGAGGGAGCCCTTGTCAGGATGTTTGTGAGTTTCTCAGCAGATGAAACTGACATGTCACATTTTCCAAGCCAGTTTCCAAAGCATTGTGTTAATGGCTCTTCCAGAAGCCCATCTCTCAACAACCTGAGAAGATTTGGTTCCCGGTCTTTGCCACAAGGCGCAGGCTGACATCTGTGCGGGCGGCACATGCCCACTGACCAACACTCACTTGAGCACAATCTCAACAATCTGGCTGCTTTCCAACAGTCTCTCCCACCCGTGCAAGCGAACTGGAATAAAAGTGACTGAGGGACACCATCAGGGGGTGATCTAGAATACTGGGGGACACTATCAGGGGGTGATCTAGAATTGATTCTAGTTTCCCTTTGAATTAATGTAAGAATCAGTCATTGAGTTCGACTCTTAGCTGTGAAGTAGATAGATAACTGCCATTCTTGTGCAGGCTCAGTGGACTCATGACAAGACAGAAACTTGCAGCCAGGCGGTGGTGACACACACCTTTAATCACAGGAGGCAGAGCCGGCAGAGGTAGGCAGATCTCTGTGCTCGAGGCCAGTCCGGTTGTCAGAATGAGAGTGAGTTTCAGGACAGCAAGGGCTACACAGAAAAATCCTGAAAACCCTGTCTTGAAAAAACAAAAACAGGAGACAGAGACAGACAGACAGACAAACAGACATTTGAAGTCAGCATAGAGCTTCCCGGGTGGTTTCTGTTTGGTCCCTAAACACAGAATGACCATCCTGCTCTCAGGGTCTTATGTGTGTATGTGTGGCAGGGAGGAAGCAGGGACAGATGAACAGACGGCGTGCTATCCTTCAGGCCTCACCCACAGGCTTCCAGAAGCTGGTGGTACCTACACCTACTAATTTACAGGAGTGACTTTTTTCATCTTTGGTTGATGTCGTATCTGGTGGAGTTTGGGTAACTGATGTACAATTACATTGTCAAGGTGGCCATGCTGTGCTGGCCGTGCCGGCGCCCTTGGAAGATGGAGACAGGAGGATAGAGAGTTCCATCCCTGTCACGAGCCATTTCCCCCCTAAAAAATCATTACAGGAACCATCACCCTGGGGAGTCTGCAGAGAACCCCACACCCATAATTATGTTCTATTGACAGAACCTGCCCCACACCCAATTAACTTATCTGTTAGCAGAACACGCCTCACATTCCAGCTATCCAGGGAACCAGGTGTGGCAACTTGTGACTTCTTGGCCTACCTGTCCAAATGTAACCTCTTGGCCTACGTGATGAACCTGAACCACGTGACCTGGAACACGCGGCAAGAATCCAGTTTCCCTGCCCCCCAAAGTCCTCACTCAGGGCCTATATAAACAGCAACCATGATCCTAATAAACGGGGGCTTTGACAAATCTGCTTGGCCTCATTCTTCTGTCCTAGCTCATTCCTTTCCAGGTAGCGCCCCTCCGAGACCCTGGAATAACTGATTGCAGGGTGGGTTACAAACCCCTAGACTGAGTAACCCACCCAACGCAATCGACAGTGGCGCCCGAACCAGTGACTCCGAGTACGGTTAGTTTTGATCCTACTGCATGTACTGGCTTTGTGGGAGCCTAGGCAGTTTGGATGCTCACCTTATTAGACCTGAATTGAGGTGGGTGGTCCTTGGACTTCCCACAGGTCAGGGAACCCTGATTGCTCTTTGGGCTGATGAGGAGGGAGACTTGATCGGGGGAGGGGGAGGAAAATGGGAGGCAGTGGTGGGGAAGAGACAGAAATCTTTAATAAATAAATAAATAAATAAATAAATTTTTTAAAAAAAGGAGTTAGCCAATAAGAAGTTAGAGCTAATGGGCCAAGCAGTGATTTAATTAATACAGTTTCTGTGTGGTTATTTAAGTTCTGGGCAGCTGGGACGAACAAATGCTCCCTCTCCCAACATTTAAAGTTCTAATTCCCTTAGCCTTGCAAAGTGACACAGATGGAGTGGCTTAAACCCCAGAAGGGAATTGCCACAAAGTCTAGAGGCTGGAAGGATGAGATCAAGGAGGATTCCTTCTGAGTTTGTAAGAACCTCTGTCAATATCTCTGTCAATGTGGCAACCCTCTCCCATATCCGCTTCTTTTTACGTGTGTGTATGTGCATGTAGGATGTGTGCACCCTGGTGAGCTTGCCCACATGCATGTGGAAGCTAGATATCAATGTCTGGTTTTTTCCCCACCACTGACCCACCCTGTTTTTGGAGACAGCTTCCTACCCTGCTGGCAGTGTGCTATTCCCACCCAAGCGCTGGCATTACAGGTGTGCACGCCTACACCCAGCTTTTTACACAGGTACTGGGGATCTAAACTCAGGTCCTCATGAATACAAGGACACCAATCATACTGGCTAAGAGCCACTCAAAAGACTTCATTTAACCTAATGACCTCAGGGAACGTCCTGGCTCCGAATAACGTCAGCATCTGAGGTATTAGAGATGTTAGCATAGAAACCTGCAGACGGCCATCACTCAATCTGTAATGGGAGCGAATAAACATGAGCCGTGGTCAGTGATAGCATCAGTAACAAAGTCGGCACAAAAATCAACGTTATTAACAGGAAAGAAAAGAACTTTCTCCAGTTAGCTCAGAATCTTCTAGTAGCTCTGTGTCACCCGAGATACAAAGGCCAAACGCTTCAAGCTGCCAGTTAAATACTCCTCGTCCTCCAGTAAGCCTTCACCTTGTGTCCCAGGCCTCTGTCTCCACTCCAGACAACTCTGTCACACCCATTCCATCTCTTCTTGCTCCTCAGCTGGGAGTGTGTTCCCGAGGGAGGCCTTTCCTCTCCTCTGCTTACTTAACTCCTCAGGAAGCCAGCTCTGCCTTTGTCCCCTTGGGGATTATTCCTTGGGCACAGTTTATAGTCAGTGTCCCAGGATACTCAAGAGATCACTAAAGAACACAGAGATTGTCGCCAGAGAAGTGGAGAGGGCCAGGGAGTCAAGGAGGACACTATGGCCACCTGTTTCCTACGGGAACTGTCTTGTGCTTTAGAGGAAAAGGCCAATATCAAAATCATGACAAGAGGGGAGAAGGTGGGGGGTGGGGGAGGGAGGGGAGAAATGTGGTGGTTTGAACAAGATGCCCCCCATAATCCAGGCATTTGAATACTTGGTCCTCAGTTTTTGCCTGTTTGGGGTAGGCTTATGAGGTGTGGCCTTGCTGAAAGAAGTATGTCCCTGGGGATAGGCTTTGAGGTTTTGAAAGGCATTTCAAGTTCACTTTTTCTGTTCCCTGTTGTGGTTCAAGATGGCAGCCATTCACTCTCAGCTTCTGGGCTCTGTCACCAGGCCTGCCTGCTGCTGCGTTTCACCACATGGGGGAGGGACTCTTATTCCTTCACAGCGGCTGAGCCCAATCAAACCCTTCCTTCTATAAGGGCCTTGGCCCTGGTGTTTTGACACAGCAATTGGAAAGTAACCATTGCAGAAATCCTGCCTCATTTTTCTTCTGTCCTGATGTCTCCTTCCATAGCCACTCGTCCTGCCGGCATGGAGCAAAGAGCGTGGGGACTGGGGCGAATACAGGGGAAACAGGAAAATCAGTATACACCACCTCTGTCGCAACTCTTTCTGAACCCAAATGGTGCTTCGGTCTGGACCATTTATGTGACCTGTAGCCACTAAGCCCATCCTGGCCAATGAGCTTCCTTATCAGGATGTGAGTATCGCTACGGCTGCAACAACAACGACGAAGACGGCCGGATGAGTGACCTGAGTTTGTTGCTCAGGAATCTTCCTGTGCCCAGAACCCCTCGGTGCTGAGAACAGAGCTGCGCCGCTAGTCTGTGTGTAATGAATTAGAGCCCGGTACAGCCTGGGCTTTCAGAGGAGTGTGGGTGGGATCCATGCGAATCCATACTGAAAAATCGCCAACTCTGGAAGAGCAATTGTCAGGCCCATTTCCTGCTGCGTGTGGAGCCAGGAGACACTGGGAGCTTGGCGGCCTGACAGCTGAGGAGCAGCCAGGGAATTTAGCAGGAGACAGAGAAAATGAGTCCTGTGGGTCTGGCCCAGCACCATCAAAAGCAGACACTGGCAGAGCCTCTCATCCCAGAATCAGGGGCCAAGGTGGGTGGATGCCGGCCCGACTAGCACAGGTCCCTGGGGAGCCAGAGCAGTCAGAAGGCAGAGAGGAAACAACATCTTGAAGAGGCTGATGGTTCTGTCTGAGGCCAGACGTTGCTGAGGGATCATAGTAACGGTCATCTAAGGGACATTACAGATGGTGTCTGTCGTGACACCTGCCGTAATATTGAGCCGCGGGTGGAAACTATCTGCCATTGATTTGGGCTAACTGCTGAATGGACCAGAAGGGGGCGCTTGCCCGCAGGCTAAGCCTTGATATGTGTGGCAGATAGTACGATTGTCATTCTAACCTTCTTTCCATGTTATGGACCCTCATGGCCCTTATCTCCCTTGATAGAGGCCAATGGAAATCGTCTGACAGGACTTTTAGGAAAAGAGAGAATGACAGAAACTCTTCTGTCTCTAATATGCAGTGTCTCCAAATGATGCCTACTACTGTAGTGGTATTTCACTTATATTTTAATAAATGAAGACTGCCTGAAGATCTGAGAGTAAAACAGTCCCACTGGTCAGCCTCACAGACCAGGTTATAGTAAAACACACACCTTTAATCCCAGTAGCCACACTAGT